CTGATTTCGAGGCCAGCCTGGTCTCCAGAGCGAGTGCCAGGATAGGCTCCAAAGCTACACAGAGAAACCCTGTCTTGAAAAAACAAAAGACAGGAAAAAAATAAATGTTTAAAAAAAAAAAGTTTAAGAACAGAGTTTAAGTATATATTTGAACCACATGAGGAAACAAAAAGGTAGTAAATAATAATACCATGGTAACAATTTATTTATTTTCCTAACAATCCAGGCTGATGCCCAAAATGGTAAGAATTCATAAAAGCAAGGTCTGGATTATAATAGAATTTAGCAAAACACTGAAATGTTTACTTTACCCTGAAAACCATTATACCACTAAAGAATTCAAGTAAAAGCTGGGCAGTGGTAGTGTATGCACACCTTTAATCCGAGTATTCAGGAGGCAGACGCAGAAAGACCTCTGAGTTTGAGGTTGGCCTGGTCTACAGAGTGAATTCAGTTCCAGACAGGGCTATACAGAGAAACCCTGACTCAAACAAAACAACAAAAATCCATGGAGAAAAGTTTCTCAAAGTACAGCCAACAATGGAGAACATCCACAGTCCTTATAAAAACATGCTGGCAGTAGTGGCGCAGGCCTTTAATCCCAGCATTGGGAGGCAGAGGCAGGGGGGTCTCTGAGTTCAAGGCCAGCCTGGTCTCTAGACTGAGTTCCAGGACAGCAGAGCTGTTACACAGAGAAATCCTGTATTGAAAAACCAAAAACCAAACCAAACTAAAAACAAAAAAACCCAACCCCAAATACCAAAAACAAACAAACCCCTAAAAACCAACCCAACCCAAAAAACAAAATATACTTAACAAGATAAAATTCATCTAGGTCTCCAAATGTCAACACTCCAAAGCTATCACAGCCACTGCACCACTCTCAAGGTCCAATACCACCTGGTGTGGATTTTAAAATTATTTAGTTCATTTCTGCTCCTTTTCAATCTCTCTACCTAAGGCACAAGTTCATTTAAAAACAGTCAGTCATATCGCACATTCCATAGGTGTTTCCTTTTTTCTTTTTAGCGGTTGTCTCTGTATTAGGAAAGTTAATATGACGCACAGAGCACTAGCTGCTCTGAAACTCCAGTCAATGCCCTCTATTTCTGATCCCAAGGAACTCAAAGGAAGTCCTAAATTGAAAAGAAAACAAATGTAAAAAGCTGATTCATTTCAAGATTATAAAAATTGGTTTATTGTAAAAGAAATTCAAGAATAACCAGTTAAATTCTTATCCGCACTTAACTCTTTGGGGTAGAGAAAATAACATGCACTTTTTTATTTACACATCACCAAATATCATTGTCTTCCTTGCATTTTCTAGCTTTGTTGACAGTATTCATTAGTGGCAATTCAGTGACAGTTAGCATGTCTACAACAAGAAAGACGACATTGAGGCCGTGATTGAGGGAAGGGAAGGGTGCTCAGGTCCCCGCCCGAAGTCAGCACAAAGGGTGTGATAAGGCCAGAGAGCTGTCAGGCACCAAGGGCTGCTGGACACTGAGGTATTACCAGGCAAACAATCCCCAGGGAAGGAAAATTGCACACCTCATTTTGTGGGCAAGCTTAAGCGACTCAAAGTTTAGGAACAACTTCTTTACTGGTAACAAGATGTGAGCTAAGTCTTAAGAGAAAGAAGTTCATAAAAACTTTCCTATCACGGCCCCACTAACCTCCTCAGCCCAACTTCCCATCCTCCAACCACACTACAGCTCATCGGTCCACACAGAGGATGCAGTCTTACTCAATGGCTTACTGGCAAATTGCAGGCACTCACCAATGCCCTATGGTCTGCACACTCACCACACACTATTGAGTTAGACTAGAATTTCATTTTTGTTCTAAAGTAAATCCTCCTGATGGTGGCCATTTCCCCAGACCTAATTCAAGGGTGAATCTTCAGCTAGTTTCTTAGTAAAAAGCCTTAGGGTCGATGACTACAAATGACTATGAATCATCACGTATAATACATTGATTCTGACTACGAATCATCATATATAATACACTGATTGCATTTTCTGAGCACTCAAAGAACTGAATAAAACTTTTCTACTTCCATTCCCGTGCTACACTAAACCAAAGCGCCAACAGATTTCCACCTTCCTAAGCTGAGGGTTCCCACAGCAGCTTTAGCCAGGGAAAGAATAGTTTGTCTGCTCATTTTAACCCTTGAAAATAAGGGATTCTTCTAAAAGCATTCAAAAAGATCCTTAAATGACAGAGGTGCTAGCTGGTGCCACTACAATTCATAACCAACTATTACACGTCATAGCTTATATTGAAAAGTTAATTCATGCTTATTTTGTTCCTTTAAAAAATACTCTTTGGAAGCCATCATTACTCCTGAAGACACATACTCTAGCAATCTCTCTTCTTGCAAAAATAAGGCATACTCATGCTTATCTCTATCCCTTTGCTAAGTTCAACTACCCCCCCACATTTAAAGTCTGATCACTTTACCAGCCAACCCATGACCTCACAGCCTTCTACACAAGCCCCCAGGGTCCATTTGGCAGAAAAGTGTGAGCAGGATTTGCAAGAATGACCTTGCAGGTAACACTCAATCTGGTCTTCATTGTGACCATGACAAATGAGAACTCAAGTACCTGAATTCACATCCAAAACTGAGGTGAAGGCAAAAGGCATGTCTACCTCTGAAGTTCACTCCTGCTCAGTGACTGCCCAGCATGAACTGGTCCCAGGGGGAGTGAGGCCACTTGTTTGCTTCCATCCTAGTCACCAAAGCGTACAGAGGGCAAGAGAGCTCCTCCAGGCTTCACCACAGCAGAACCCTTTCTAGAACACTGCCCTACCTTGAACACCTACAGTTTGCCAACAGGAATTTAAACTATTTATTTGTGAAACAAAAACTACTAGTCATGTATTCTAAATGCGTATGTTCAAGGCTACTGTTTAAAAAATAAACTGGAAAAGAAGGAAACCTTTAAAAAGATACATTCTGCTATCACACTACCATAGACATTATAAGTGTGTGTACATATGTAGAAAGGAGATAACCAAGATTTAAATAAGATGGTAAAAAGCCAGGAAATACAGATTTCCTGCACCCCCCCCACAGTACTGCCCACCCAAG